TATTGCGAGATTTGATTTCTGCTTCTTTGCAACAAATTTTATTGTTTTAAACAAAATGAGTATATTTTCATACATTTTACTCAGTTTCAGCCGAAAAAAGAATTTCCCGTTGGAAGAACTCAAATATATTAAATAAATTCTGTTGTCTGTTGTTTATAACAAATTTGATTTTTACGAACAATTTACATTAAATAAAACAGCCTATAACCTTACCCACGATACCTTTTACATGTTTGCATAATTCAGTTGCAATCGAATTAACCGTGTCGAGTATTACTCCGACCACACAGACAGACAGACATCCGAAATTTTTATAGTAGTATAGATTAATCTGTCAAAAACAAATATCTCCCGATATCTGTAAAAAAAACAACGCCAAGTCGCCGTTGTTCAAAAGTCTGATATTTTCAAATGCTTTTCCATGCAAAAAATGTTCATAATCATAATATTGCACCAAGTTAGATTTGTCATAATCAAAAAAACATAAATTTTTTTCTAAGAATCGTTTATTAAAAAATCTGAGAAATGTGAGAGAGAAATTGCAGATCGAATGTAGAATTTAATAATTATTAATAATTTTCCTGCGTGTTTGGAGTATACCAAAAATCTTGGCGTGGCTATAGAAATAAATGCAATTATAGTTAATAAGAATTATTTATTAGACTGTGTGAGATGCTGTCCTTCAGATCAATTGTCCAAAGCGAGTTTATTTCATCATAGCTACGCCCAGATTTTTTAATATATTTCAAACTGCACAAATTACTTTATGGCAAGGGCTATAGAACGCCCACACGAAGGTCTTGTGCAGTATACTTGGATCTGAAGGTAGCACATGCTGGCAGAAGAGTGAGCTGGCGCCTGCGCATGAGACCCAGGCATGCGGCGGCTGGGATTCAAACTAACAGGCAGACGTGGGCTTCTGCACATTATTATGGTGTCGATACCTCTGACTACAGCCTACTCCAAATCTACTCGCCATGTTCGCATTAGAGTAGGGTATTAGAATATTTGTTTAAAAAGAGTATTACTAAGATGTTGAGTTTTAATTTCAGATTTTTCAATATGCTATAACTTTAATGAAGTCAGTATACACCCAGGGTGTAAACCTGGACAGGTCGAGGGCGGCTGGGGAAGAATGATTGAGATCTTCCAGCGAGCCTTAATGTCTCTAGTGGAGACCTTGATAAAAACTGGTTGTCTGAGTGATAAGCAACTCAACGTTTTTGTCCCAAGTTGTAAGCCTGGACAGGTCATCAGTGGCTAGGGAAAGGATGATGAGAATCATCACTTTATAGCCAGCTAATCAATATGATCTTTAGCGAAGATCAAAGATTGACGTGGAGTCGATCTAGTGGATTGACACAGCCAAAAAACTAGATAGCGTCATTTTGGAGGAGCTTGTCTATGTGCAGACCTCAATCCAGAAGACAAATGATCTCTTACTACACTGTCGAGCTTCCTGGACTTTCGGTGAGAATAGTAAAAACAGCGAACTTAGTTGCTTCACCGAAAGGGTTGTTCATCAGCGTTGAGGGTTGATATGATGACCAGTGTAAGGCAAGGCCTTGATATGTCACGAAGACAGCACAAATGGAAACAAATCCACCAAGACAACTCACGAAAGATTAGAACAAACACAACGAATACAAGAAACGATAAGAACTGAAGTAGACTCGGGTAAAACTCCTGAGGAACTGGCTATTGTCCAGCTCTATCTTCGAAGATTTTTTCCAAGTAGAGGGAAAATAGGCCTTGTGGGGGTAACTCGCGATAAGAGTAGGAGGAAGGGAGGTGGTTGAAAATTTCTCATCCAGAAGAATCTAATAAAAAGTTTGGGTAAATTCTTTTGCCACATGTGGGTTTAAAGGATTCGGGAAGTTCTCAAGTTTATGATCAAGACATCTGGAATGGCTTGGAGATCAGGAAATGTGGCTTGCTTATGGCAGGAGTTGATTTTATGATTCAAACACATTTTTTTTCTATTAAAGAAAATAATTCACCAGTTTACGCACCCACTGGCAGGGTTTTTCTTTTTTAGTAACAACTTTTTCACAAGTGATGAGCGAAAAAAAGACTGTCAGGTGAAAAAGTGGAGTCTGAAGAAGCGAAGCAAATAGAAAAAGTCCACGTCGCTAGTTGCGTGAATTGAAAGTTTGTAACAAAAAAAGTTAATTTTTTAACCCACGCACCTAGTAGCGGGGGCTTTTTCTTTTATTTCTTGTCACTAAAAAAAGGCTCTTCAAGCTGAAATATTCATTATCAAGATAATTATCAAATCTATACTTTAACAAAAAATATTCCCGGCAGCCCGATAGGCTTCATTCAGTAATTATTTATATAAAATTATTGGGCTTATAGTATATCTCGTTTATGCTTTACCACTTCAAACACGCAGGAAAATTCTAAAAAATTTATTTTAACCAATGTTAACTAGGATTTTAATGGTACATTCGATCTGCAATTTCTCTCTCACACTTCTCAGATTTTCTAATAAACGATTTTTAGAAAAAAATTTATGTTTTTTTGATTATAACAAATCTAACTTGGTGCAATATTATGATTTTAACATTTTTTGCATGTAAAATCATTTGAAAATATCAGACTTTTGAACAACGGCGACTTGGCGTCCGTAAGGCGAGCTTCCGTAAGGTGGAATATCTAAACATTATCTTCTATTCCTTTCCTTTTTCTATACTTCTTGAGTGCGTGTGAGTGTAAGAGAATGCATGCGAACAATCTGGTACTAGTTGCTTGCGTCGAGAATCATCTAGCCTTCTTCCTCGTTGATGAATTCTCGTGTGATTAATAATTATTGTTGATGAAATCAGTATTTGTAAGTAAATATTTTCTTTGTCAAACCTAGTCCTGGTTGTCTTGGACTTCCTTCTATTTCCATTAGAGATCATATCTGGTCTTCATTCTTTTTTCTGGAACCATCTTAGCTCTTCACTTTCATCAAGATAGTCACACTCGACTGTCCATCAGCTCAGCTGACAAAACACTCTCTGGGACAGCTCACCATCGACTTTTTTTAAAAACTATCTTCTAAAATTCCTTAATACTTAATTTCTTCAATCTCTTAATTTTCTTCTCCCTCCAATCAAAAATGTTTTCAGTTTGTCAATTTATTTTCCTTTTTAGAGGACATCTTCACGTTACTTCTTCTAGATTTTCATATGAAGCGGTCACTTAGAACTAATGTGCACTAAAACGTAATCATCATTCCAAAACTCAATCCCTAAACTCAAAAACCTAATCCTACGACCTTTTCCACACTTTCATCTTTTTCTTAGGGTCCCATTTGACTGGCAACAGCCTTGTAACTACTACAATCAATTCAATTCCACCTTGCGCAAGGAATTTTCAAAAATAAGTCCAATAGCTTCTGCTCACTGTGCAAACTAAATTATCAAAAATTGGGCTTAAAGTGACGCATACTATCCGAACAAACATAAAAGGATACCATGGACATCTAGTACCTTACTTTGCTTTACTTTGGCTAATAAATGAAGTAAAGGATTCGGGAACAATGACTCCAACCGTGTATATCGTACAGTAACACCACGAGAACGCTCTAGGACAGACATTGTGAATTTAAATCAATAATCAAATGATCAACGAGAGCCAACATTCTCAGACTGGAAGTTACAAAAACCCTGAATTCAGCAGAAATTAGAAATCCAGAAAGAGTCAACAATGATTCATTATCATCATACGGAGCGAGTCTAATCACTCAATCATTAAAAAACGACCATTCAAGATTTTCTGAAATTCGAAACACAACATCTTTAAGTAGATTTTAGACGCATGAAGACCTTCCAAAAATAACTAAAACTTCAGACGATTTCCTTTACTTTAAAAAAAATTGAATTAAATCTCTGAATTTAATCTAAAAGAATTTCAAACCAAATCTAACTGTTTTTTGCTAAACTTGATTTAACAGTCTGAAGAATCTTACAATTCTTCTTAGAATGACCTTCTATTCCACAAATCCAACATCTAAATCCATAAAAAGACTTTTCATTATTAAAAGATTATAAATTTCCTTCAGCAGAATCAGAATGATTATTATTATCATTATAAATTTTATCTTTTTTAAAATTGTTGTTAAAATTGTTCTTATTCTGACCTCCGAAGGTCAAATCTTCAATCAACTCGAGCTCTAGAGCTCTCTAACTTGCAAATTGGAGAGATTCAATTCTCTCCGAATGAAGAGTGTTCTGACTTCGAGTCGGCCGGACGAGCAAACAAAAAAACTAGTGGACTGTAATAATTGAGAGCAGAATAAGAACAAAGGTTGGATGCCAGAAGGTTCCAAAAAATGATTCACAAATACCAATTTGTCTAGGTTTTGATGTTTTTTATTCAACAATAACACTTAACATAATCAATAGAACTTAATAATCACTACATCTAATTAAGTTGACTGTACAGTAATTGTTTGTACACGTATGAATTGTCTGATGGTTCTTTTTTTACCAAAAAATAGTCTCAACACAGTGAAGAGCAACATTCACAGTATACACCAGAGTTGTTCGTGGGTGTGATGTACATGTGAATGTCCGTGAGGCACTATGGCGTCGACGCCAGTTCAGCTTCGCGCCCAAAGACACTACAACTGAATATACTGGACCACTGGCACTGATGAGAGAAATTTGATGATTCACGTATGTTCGTGAGAGTTGTCTGAGTCTATTTGACCGTACTTTTTTGTACAAAGAGTGAGCTGACTGCAAAAACCTGCGATTTGACTGCGAACGATTGTACAGAGATGACCGCGTGATTTGCCTGGAGCTAACTGACGCCACAAGTGCTCGACCGCGTGCTTGTTGGCGTCACTAGGGCCGTAGAGTTGCCTTCTGGGCCATAAGGGAAATACTTCCCGATGATTGGTCCAGTGAGTTGACTGAAGCGCCGGTGGACAAGTCCGGCATTACGAAATTTTGATTATTCCTGACTAACTGACTTGGGCCCCTCCAAGTCAGAACATTGTCCCACCATCAGCAACGCCTTTGCTGATCTTCTGCTGGTGGAGTGTATGGTAAGATGACTAGTTTGGTGAGTGGTCTGATGAGCTCTGCTGCTGCTGTCTTGAGTTTGACTGTTCTGATGAGTCCGTCTGATCCTGGGAACACCTTAATCACTCTGGCGAGAGGCCACTTCGTTGGTGGAAACCTCTCGTCAGTGAGTAGTACAAGTGAGCCGACTGTGATGTTGTGAAAGGGGTGTTTCCACTTGGAAATGGCGAGTTGCTGCTGAAGGTATTGTTTTGACCACGTTGACCAAAACGATTGGAGTCGCTGCTGAATAAATTGCCACCTGGACAAGCGTGGCATTGGCACATCTTCCAGTGAAGGCTCTGGTAATGTTACTAGCGGTTCACCAACCAAGAAGTGTGCTGGAGTCAACGCTGAGATGTCTGTAGAGTCGGCTGAGAGAGGCTCGAGTGGTCTGGAGTTAAGGACTGCTTCTATCTGGACAAGCAGTGTGGAAAGCTCTTCATATGTAAAGAGTGAGTCGCCTATCGTTCTGTTAAGATGGAACTTTACTGATTTGACTGCAGCTTCCCATTTTCCTCCTATATGTGGTGCAGCTGGTGGATTAAACTTCCAATCAGTTCCATCCTTTGCAAATACAGCTGCGAGTTGACTGAACTGTTGAGTCCCCTGCTTGAAGAGTTGTCTGATGAGCGTGTCTGCGCCTTGAAATGTGGTGCCACAATCACTGTGGAGAGTTCTGCAGACACCTCGACGTCCAGTGAACCTTCTGAACGCTGCAATAAATGAGTCTGCTGAATAATCTGTTACAATTTCTAAATGAAGCGCAGAAGTAACGAAGCACACAAAAATGCACATCCAACCCTTAGATGTTTTGGCGCCTCTGCCTTTCCAAGTCTTTAGCGTGATGGGACCAGCGTAATCCACACCACAGACGGCAAATGGTCGGGCTGGAGTGATTCTTGATAACGGCAATTGACTCATTAACTGCTTCGCTCGTTCGCCACGTAAACGAGCACATTTCATACAATGATAAATATAGGATCGTACTGGGAGTCGTCCGCCAATGATCCAGTACGATGATCGTATGAGGTTCAGAGTTGCCTGCGTCCCACCGTGCAATGTTCTTTCATGAGCATCTGCAATGATTAGTCTGGAAAGATGAGTTTTCTGTGGTAGGATTGCAGGATGCTTTGCTTCTTGGTCCAAGCTAGCATTTGCTAACCTCCCTCCAACACGTATGACTCCTTGAGTGTCAATAAATGCTGTCAATCGTGCGAGGGGGTGTGAGACGGGCAGTGAATTTGAGTTGATCTGCTTGATTTCCTGTGAGAAGTACGATTCTTGAGTTGCTTTTATCCAAAAAATCCTTGCTCTCTCTAATTCTTGTGGCGTGAGAGGGAAGGTGAGAGATGACCGCGGTACTCGTCTGAGGAGTTGGCTGAATCTGAAGCAAATTGCAGTCACTCTGAGCAATTTGATTAGCCGAGAATGTCTGTATATCATATCCCAATGATAATCATGTTGAATTGTCTGAGTAACTAAAGTGAGACCGGGCCGGTCTTCCTGCTGAGCTTTTGAATCGTACACTGATGATTGAGTTGGCCAGAATGATTCGTCTGCTGTTAACCACTGTGGTCCTGTCCACCACAGGGGGTGCTTCCGAAGCTGGGATATGCTGATACCTCGAGAAGCACAATCCGCTGGATTTTGTTTGCCAGGTACAAACCTCCAAACGCTGATTGGAGTGAGATCTTGAATTGCTGACACTCTGTTTCTTACAAACTCCTTCCAACGGGATGAGTGAGACTGAATCCAGGTCAAAGTCACTGAGGAGTCTGTCCAACATACGAGTTGAGTTGGCTGAATGTCTAAGTTGGTCCTTACATAAGTGATTAGTCTGGCAAGCAGCAATGCTGCGGTGAGTTCGAGTCTGGGAATAGACATTTTCTTCAATGGAGCAACCTTAGACTTTGAGCAGACTATAGTTGAACAAGTTCCATGATCTGGATGAGTAGCCCGTATGTAAACAACAGCTGCCATAGCTGCATGTGAGGCGTCTGAAAAACCATGAAGTTCCACGGTCGATTTCTGAGTAATCCGTAACCATCGTGGAATTGAGAGGTCTGAAACATGTGAGAGTTCTGATCTGAAGCTGTTCCACTTGGTGATAATGTGATCTGGGGCTTGGTCATCCCATGAAAGTTTATCTAGCCAGATTTCTTGTAGCAACATCTTTGCTCTGACAATGAAGGGTGCTAGAAATCCAAGTGGATCGCAGAGTTGTGCTGTTTCTGATAAAATTATTCTCTTTGTGAGCTTGGACTTCTCACGAGGAGGTTTTGAGTTGAACTTAAATGAGTCGTTCGCTGGAATCCACGAGAGCCCAAGTAATTTCGTTTTGCTGCTCTCAAATGAGTGGATCTGCTCTTCTGATGAGTTGTCTGTAATTGATTGAAGGAATTGAAGTGAGTTGCTGTGCCATTTCGCTAACGGGAAGCCACCTGCCATGCAGAGTTGTCTGACTTGGGTTGAGTTGTCTATCAGTTGACTCACGGTGTCAGCACCTCCAAAAATATCGTCCACATATCTTCCTTTTAGTAGTGGATCAACCGCTAGAGGGAACTTATGACCTTTATCCTTTACTAGCTGAATCATTGTACGAACAGCCAGAAATGGGGCTGACCTGGTACCATACGTGACCGTTGTGAGTTGATATGGGATTATCTTGGAGTGCTCGTCCACCCACAGGATTCTCTGGAGATCCCAGTCATCTTGATGTACCTTGATTTGTCTGTACATCTTTGTGATGTCTGATGTGAACACAAATTTATGCTGTCTGATCCAAATGAGTACGTCTGCAATGTCTTTCTGGACTTTGGCACCAGTATGTTGAATATCGTTCACTGATAGACCACTAGAAGATGGACTAGAGCCATTAAATACTACACGAAGTTTTGTAGTCAGACTGTCTTCTCTTAAGACACCATGATGAGGCAAATAATACACCGGAGAGTTGATTGGACTTGCCTTGGCTCGTGTCATGTGGTTCAGTGACTCATATTCTTGCATAAAGTTGTGATAGAGTTGTGCATATGAGTCATTCTTTGTGAGTCGTCTGATCATGTGTAGTAAACACTGATGAGCTCTCGCTGATGAGTTGCCTAGAAGAGATGGTGATGCTTTTAGTGGCATTCTCACAATATATCTCCCATCTTGATCTCTTGAATGAGTCGCAACATAATGATCTTCACAGGATTGATCATCTGGGCTGAGTTGGCTGGCTAAGGTCTCTGGAACTTCTTCTTGAACCCAGAATTTTGTCAAGAGATCAGATACTTGCTGGTATGAGTTGACCCTTGCTGTGTGATGAGTTCTCTGACTTGAGTATCTTGTCGGTTGTGGCATTCCAATGAGCATCCACCCAAAGATGGACTCTTGGGCTATTAGAGATGACTGCGGACATTGTTTGATGCCTGCTTTCACAATCAGACCATAACAATCTGCTCCTATTAAGATGTCAATGGGTCTTGGAGTTGAGTAGTCTGGATCAGCAAGTTGCAGAGAGTTGAGAGCTGACCAGTTGAGTTCCTTGAGTTGTCTGGTTGGTAAAGTACCAGTGACACATTAGAGGATATGAGCATTAATTGTAACTTGCTCCTGTGTGTGAGTTGATCTAAGTGTCACTGTTGTCACTCCTCTAGTTTGTACAGCTGGTTCGTTACCAATTCCCAGCACTGATATCACTGATGGACGACGTTGGAGATGACAAGTCTTTACCACACTTGATGAGATGAACGTCAGCTCAGACCCTGAGTCTATCAGGAGTCTTACTGGAAGCTGAGAGTAGTCTGAGAGTAATACTGCATTGGCTGTGGCGAGTAAGACTGCTGAGCTGTCTGATTGAACTGGAGACTCGTTAGTGCATGGATCTTCTGCTGCCCTGAGTGCTGAAGAGAGTCTTCCATGGATATCTGAGTTGTCTGTAGTGTTCTTGGTGATTGTTGAATCATGTGAGTCGTCTGAGATTTGACTAGTGTGAGTTTGACTCTTTTCTTCAGCTGTAGGAGATCGAACGAGACCTTCTGACTCTTCCTCCAGGACCCTCAACCCTCCTGAGGCCGAAACCTCATGTGCTAAGGTCATCCTTTCCGTCGAGTCATCAGAGAAGCATTCTTTACTCCTGTTAGCGCATGTAGAGTGACATGATTCATCACCCTTGATCATTGAGTTGTCTGCATGTTGAGTGATCACACCACCACTTGGAGAATTGACTAAAACATAATTAGAGTTGACTGCAGAGAGTTGATTATGATGATGAGTTACCTGGTGAGAAGTCTGCTTAGATGAATGGGTGTGATCTGGAGTCAGCTGTGGAAATGGCACATCGTCATCTCACTGGGAGGTTGATGGGTGGTGGCTGCTATGAGTCGGCTGCGGTTCTTGGCCAGGGCCATATCCTCTTTTCCTTAGAGATTCTGTCCTGGGCGTGTGAATCATTGAGTGGTGCTTTAAATTGCACGTGCTGCATCGTTTCTCTGACTGGCACACCTGGATAGAGTGGTGGCCGAAGCAATTGAAGCACAGCCGTGCTGCGAGGACCAGCTTCTACCTTTCTTGCTGTAAGAGTCCTGCGAACGCTTTGCAGTCAGCCACGTAGTGATCTAGGCTGCTGCATTGATCACACGGGTAGTCTGCGTGTCGTTTTTGCGCCGCATGCCTGGAGGCTTGAGTTGTCTGTGGGTGAGTCGTCTGCTGGTGAGTAGACTGTTGCGCTCTTGATTTTCTGGTGACCACTGGGGTAGGCCACCGTTTTGCGTGCCGAGCTGCTTCCTGCGCTGACTCCATTGCACGTGCCCTGGTTGATATGAATGAGAGTAGGCGGTCAAGAGTTGTCGGTGAGCGAGACCTACTTCGCTCGAGTTCCCACGCCTCACGTAGCGGTTGCTCCAATTTACTGGCCACCAGGTACACCAGAAAATAATTTGCAGCGTCTACAGGTACATTGAGAGCCTTCAAGGCATCCAAGTTTTGCCGTACTACTCCCACCAGGTTGTCGAGTTGTTCAGCTGACTTTGATGATGGTGTGGTCGCACTGAACAGGTCCTTGATGTGAGCAAAGATGAGTTGTTCTGGATCATCGTACCTGGCCTTGAGCTGATTACATGCTGGCTCATACCCATCATCATTCATTACAGCATGACGGATCAGTTGAAGTGGGGGACCTGATACGTTGGCCTTCAGGTAGTGTAGTTTGGCTACTGGCCTGAGATCTTCCCGATCGTGAACGAGGGACGTAAACATGTCCCGAAACTGCGTCCACGTTGATGAGTCGCCTGCGAATGTTGGGAGAGGGATCTCTGGGAGAGTTGCCTGTCTGTATATGATTGGAGTTGTTTGCTGTGTAGAGGCCTTGTAATCATCGATGGCCTTCTGGATGTCTTTCTCGTGTAGCTCTGATTTCACCCGATGGAGAGTCGACTCTATATGGTAATGACGCCGTAAAGCACTTTCATACACTGTCGGTCATATACTGGTGTTTGAATAGTGTCAACCGACACCCTACTCCTAATGCCTCATGCTCCACCACGAAGTATGTCCAGAGGTCGTTGAGTTGTGATAGCTTCGCCTTGATTATGGGCATTGTGACGAGAGCAGGCTGTCGCACAAGATCAGCCACGTCTTGCTGCATAAATTGAAGCTGCTCATACCTGGACATTTGAGACGTCAATTTAAATAATGTGGTGTTTGCCAGTGCAGGTGGTGACTTTGACCTGTCACGTGATGTTGTGGCTTTTTCGGGTACCTTGAGTGTTGTTCCACTGGTACCTTCTGCCTGAGAGTCGACTGGAACTGGTGATGGTGCTTGGCTTACACTCACTTGCTCTAATATCTCACTAATACCTTCAACTGACTCATTGTCTTCGGCTACATCGACGTAGTCCGATTTTGCAGGCGGAATTAACCGTTTGTCTGCCATAGTTCAGTTGAGTGAGTTGTCTAATATCACTAAACTTACACTTATCACTAAGAAAATTCACACAAAATGTTGCTAGAGTTGTCTGTTGTCACCTTGATGCCAATGGTGGGCTTTCAATAAAGTCTCAACACCAAAAGAATCACACAAATTACTTCACTGAGTCTACGAGCTCTGAATAATAGTTTTTGGTGACGAACTTTACACTACGAACACTACCCTAATTAATAACTATGTTTATATGCAAGTGAGTTGCCTGTGTCAAGGTTATCTTGACTCTCACACAAAAAAAACTGCGCGCCAAGCGTCTCAAGAAACTGTTTGATGTGTGAGATGAGCACCACTGTCTCACAATAAGAGAGATGAGTGTCACTGGGCACTGGAATGCGTAAACACCTTTTGTCTGTAAGGTTGTTTACCCACTACCACTGAGAGTTGTCTAAGTCTAAGTGAATCACACGCACTTTAGAGGGAATATTTCACAAAATATTCACAAACTTCTGAAGCACTAGAACCTCCTGGAATTATTCGATATCCATAGGTCGCTGGTTCATATCCGGCTCGAAGGACCAAATGTTCTGACTTCGAGTCGGCCGGACGAGCAAACAAAAAAACTAGTGGACTGTAATAATTGAGAGCAGAATAAGAACAAAGGTTGGATGCCAGAAGGTTCCAAAAAATGATTCACAAATACCAATTTGTCTAGGTTTTGATGTTTTTTATTCAACAATAACACTTAACATAATCAATAGAACTTAATAATCACTACATCTAATTAAGTTGACTGTACAGTAATTGTTTGTACACGTATGAATTGTCTGATGGTTCTTTTTTTACCAAAAAATAGTCTCAACACAGTGAAGAGCAACATTCACAGTATACACCAGAGTTGTTCGTGGGTGTGATGTACATGTGAATGTCCGTGAGGCACTATGGCGTCGACGCCAGTTCAGCTTCGCGCCCAAAGACACTACAACTGAATATACTGGACCACTGGCACTGATGAGAGAAATTTGATGATTCACGTATGTTCGTGAGAGTTGTCTGAGTCTATTTGACCGTACTTTTTTGTACAAAGAGTGAGCTGACTGCAAAAACCTGCGATTTGACTGCGAACGATTGTACAGAGATGACCGCGTGATTTGCCTGGAGCTAACTGACGCCACAAGTGCTCGACCGCGTGCTTGTTGGCGTCACTAGAGCCGTAGAGTTGCCTTCTGGGCCATAAGGGAAATACTTCCCGATGATTGGTCCAGTGAGTTGACTGAAGCGCCGGTGGACAAGTCCGGCATTACGAAATTTTGATTATTCCTGACTAACTGACTTGGGCTCCTCCAAGTCAGAACAAAGAGAAAATTGTAACTTTAATTTTATAATCCAGAAATGAATTGCAAACCAGCCATTCTATCTCTCTTTTCAAAAGAGACCGAAGGATACGCAAATTTGACAAGCCTATCTAAATCATTTAAAAAGTCTGTTAAATTTTCATTTTCAGACTGCTCTCTCGCCTGAAAACGACTAAAATAAGCTCTAGAAAATTGAGCTTTACCGAAACGATCTTCCAAAATTTTCTTTAATCTTTCAAAATTCCCTGAATCTTCTAAACTGAAAATTTCTAAAATGACTTGAGCTTTGTACTTCAAACAGGACACTAAAATCGATGCTCTAACTTCATTTGTCCACTTATGCAGGCGAGCGATTGTCTCAAATTGACGAGAATAAGATTCCCACGTCTGAGAACCATAAAATTTTCCGGGTTTTGCAAAAGCTAAAGAACTATTATTAACTGAAGATGCTGAGACTAATTTAACCAAATTATTAGAATTCTTTTCTAAATTATGAATTTCCAAATTATTATTATTGCGATTCGTCAGAGGTGTCTGGCCAGGGATCCCAGGGCTCCGACCCACCTGGGGCCTGACCAGACGGGATTATCCTGCAGGCACCTGACTCCCTCAGGTTTAAGGGTGAGCCGGGGCTGCAGCCGTTCAGTTATTTGTTACAGTCGTCTCAGGATTCGGAGAGAACCAAGGATGACCGCTTTCTGCATACGAGCCGCGAGAATCTCAGCCTGACTACGGCAGACTGGTATTGTTCGAAGCTCTGTCAGAAAGCGTTCCCTCATCCCTCCAAGGGCGCCAATCACCAGGACTATCACGTGCGCTGTGTATTCGTGATAGACATTTCTCATGACCTCCATGAGCTCTCTGTAGCGTTCCTGTTTACTCTCTTCTTTCGCACGTACATTTGTCTCGGCTGGGGCTGAGAACTCAATGTAATATACGTGCTTGGTGGTATGGTCGAAAAGAGTAATATCCGGCTTATTGTGTTCAATATGTTGGGGCGAAGAGAGTGGGTAATTCCAAAGAATTTTTGCTCTCCAGTTCTCAACGACTGACTCAATTTTACCGGGCACATAGGGCAGCACTGGTGTCTCGTCTATTCCATAAGAGTGCCGGAGGTGGTAATACAGCACTCTTAGGGCGGCGTTATGCCAGTGAATGTAGGCTGAGCGCGCTAATATCGGACAAGCCGATAATACATGGAATAGCGTCTCATCTACATCACCGTGACAAACTCGGCATCTTCTGTCCTCGAGTTGCTCGTGCATAACATCACGCCGATAGGCGAGGGTGGAAAATACACCATCTTGACAGGCCATAATGAATCCTTCAGTCTCAGAGAACAAGCCAACTGACTTAAGGTATTGGAAAGTCAGCTGGTGTGACAAGTCCTGTGTTTCGAGATGACGATAAAACACACCATGTAAGGACTTTGCCACATGTTCGTCGAGCACTTTTAACTGCTCGGTTGTTTTCATATCGACCTTTCGCTGCCCTCTGGTCAATTGCAAAAGCCTTAGACCGTCTGGGCTGCTAGGGTCGAAAACTGAGCCGAGGTTCTGCGCTGCCTGATATGCTGCTCTATATAGGAACACATCCCTTCCCAATAGTTCAAAGCTGTTCACGAACTTGAGAAGAGGATCAGAGCTTTCATAGATGTCATAAGCCAGGCCTATCACTAACCTGTCATGTAGACACTCCAAACTTAGTAGTCCACGCCCTCCCAGATCACAGGGAAAGTATAGGCGTTGGACAGAAGATCGCGGGTGATGACTTCGATATAATGTCATCACTTTCCTCGTAATTATGTCCAGCTCATTACGCTCTTTTCGGAGCCATTTGAGAACTCCGAATGAGTATAGCAAGACTGGGACAGCGAGCATATTCGTGGCTTTGACTTTGTTAGGGCCTAATAATTCAGAGCCCCATATTCTCTTAAGTTGCCACTTGTACTCACTGCGGAGAGTATCTTTGATGACAGACACGTCCTATAAAGGAGATTGTGCCTGTCCAAGATATCGGTATGACTCTCCAGCATCCAAATGTTGTATGATGCTCCCGTCTGTAAGTTCGACGTTATCACTCCAGTTCGGCGATCTTCCTTCTACTAAGTGGGCAACTGCGCACTTGTCCAACCCAAACTCCATGCCGATTGCACTGGTATACTCGGAAACAACCTCTAGAGCTGTTCGGAGTCTCTCAGGACTTGCCGCGTACACTTTCAAGTCATCCATATAAAATAGATGTGTGATTTTGTGTACGCGGTTGGAGACTCGTCCGGCTTTATATCCAGGTGTTCGTATTTTGTACTGAAAGGCATTCGAGCAAGTAGAAGAAAAGCTCGTGCTATGTTGTATCAAATGCCTTCTATAATCCACCCAGGCTATCGACAAGTTGCGCTTGTAGTATGCGTCCATTGTGACGCATCGGTCTACTAGCAAGTTCTCCTTGCAACCTGTCAAGAAACAAGTCAATGTTACTATTGTTATTATTATTATTAATTAAATTTCTCATCTCTCGAAATAAATCTTAAGTTTCTCTTCGACCTTCCTCGAAACGTCCCTCCAAACGAATCTGATCTCGATCTAATCTTTCTTCCAACCGATTTAATCTCATCTCTAAAGCTAGAAGTCTTCCATTAGAACCGTCTTCGACACAATCGGCATATTGAGTTCTCCTTGCAGCTCGAGTCTGTCTCCGACTTGGACTCTTCGGCATGATTTTTTAAATATTCTTTCAAAAATCACTCACAAAAATATTCGCGGCATGCGAAACGAACCACTTTCTAAAATCAATGTAAAATAAGAACAAATAACAACTTTAGAAAATTGATAAATAGAGGAAAAAGTTTATTAAAGATTGACAGCAATTAACAAGAAAGAAAGAATCCGTGCGGTCAATTCAAGGCTCAGTCAAAAACTGGAGATGAACAAACTCTCCCCTTGTTGCTATAAACAATCTAATCGTCAAGCAATTGTCATTAA